AAAGTTTTACACATCATAATCAATTAATTACTCGTCAAGCTGTCTAGAGAAAACATTTCTATACATTGTCAACGCTAACTAATATTGATGGGGTAATAATCTCGCACTAACATTCCACAAACATACTACTTATTTAAACTCGCAAACAACATTGGTTTAGAATTACAGCTACTGTCTTGTGTCTTAAAAACTGCAGAGTCATAAGATGTTTTTGGTTGATTTCGACCAGCTCGCCATCTGGTCTTGTCATTAACCTTTATCAGTATATGTCATGACAGCCACTGTCAAACTGACTGAAATATAAATCATGATAGAAGTCTGGTGGTGAAAAGGTTAAAATAACCTTATGATGTAAGTTATCAATGATACGTTCATTGCAGACTTGATTTCACATTAGAGAGTATACCGTAATGGGAACATACATCTCTACTAGGGATCTCATGGGTACTGACAAAGTAGTGCCGATAATCTTTTGAAACTCTTGTAGTCAGGTAGCTTAGGCCCATATCTGAGGATGATGTGGACATTTCGGACAAAAGTACCAATTTTGGTCCATATGTTACACATTGCTTAAGCCTTCAATTTTTGATAGGACCGACCTTCTTAAAATAGGTTGTGGCAGCCGTCTCGAATTCCAAAATGGACACTATGTAAAAACATGTAACAATCAATATTTCGGCTTCTAAGCTACTCAAAATACTGGTGTCTAAATATACATTTTCTGGGGCAAATTAAACAATTATGCTAGTTAGAATATTATTAAATACTTATTTTTCTGTCGAAAATGAAATTTGAAAGTGCAGCTCGGATTGATACACACACTGACAGAATTCACTCATAAAGTATACAAAAAATAACTCATGGGATTATCTATTTATCACATGTATACGGAATAGATCATATGCGTTAATTGTCTAGTACATTCCAAAACGCGTATACGCTGAAAATCGCTTACGTTTGCAGTTCATGTTTGATGCATACTGAGTCATTATATTGTAATTTAACAATCACCAGCTTCTGCAAATGCTCGTTATTCATGAAAAGAGAGCCGCCACTGGCTATATATATTGGAATGAAGAATCTCAGAGAGACTCGGTATAAAACATGATTACCAAGCTTTATGACTTCGGTCTTAGTGTAAGCCTTCAACATGAGAACCAGCTTGCCTGTCAATGAGAGTTATACGAAGAAAGGGGTGGTGGTTCCTGTCCAACTTTGATGTTGGCTGGTCACTGTTGGAGTACTTGACAAGTTGGATTACATTCCTCCGAGTACAACTGCCCAGGTGTTCTTTCAAGGCGCATGTATCCGCATGTTTCAGTTTCCTACTCTGTTAAATTTGGGTAGCAGACAAGACGATCTCAGGATGCCTTCACCTAATGCCAGGAAGAATCATGAGTCATATGCCTGTGCTCAAAAGAATAGAGAATTTGCAGATGCAGAGCTGAAGGGGAAGAGCTGGCTGGAGTATGCTGGTCAAGTAATGAAAAATGGAGAAGTGGAAAATGATGCGTTCTGTTCAGCATTGCATGCTTCTTAACATGCTTTCTACACTCATACAACCTTTTCCTCTGTTTTATGAGAAGGTAGCGACATCAGCTATGATGAAATATGTTGGGCCCGGAGATGCCTGTTGTAGCAGCAGATGCACCACTTTATGGCCTGACACACACGAGTAGGACAAATGCATCGTAATGTTGGGTGGTCTACACATAGAAATGGCCATGTTAAACGTTTATGGCGATTATTTGGAGGGATCTGGGTGGACCAATGCTCTAAAACAAGCTGAAATTGCATCATCAGGCACTGATGACTCTTGTTTGAAGGTCACACATGTAACAAGGACAA